TTAAATAGCACTGGCCCCAGTACTGACCCCTGAGGAACACCACTCATCACAGGCCTCCACGCGGACATTGAACCGTTAACCACAACTCTTTTGAGTGCAACCATCCAGCCAATTCCTTATCCACCGAGTGGTCCATCCATCAAAGCCATGTCTTTCCAGTTTAGAGACAAGAATGTCGTGTGGGACAGTATCAAATGCTTTGGATAAGTCCAGGTAGATGATGTCAGTTGCTCTTCCCCTATCCATCAATGCTGTAACCTCATCATAGAAGGCCACCAAATTAGTGGCAGGATCTGCCCTTAGTGAAGCCATGTTGGCTGTCACCAATCACCTCCTTATTTTCGATGTGCCTTAGCATAGTCGCCAGGAGGATCTGCTCCATGATCTTGCCGGGCACAGAGGTGAGACTGACTGGCCTGTAGTTCCCTGGGTCTTCTTTTTTCCCCTTTTTAAAGATGGGGAAAGGATGTTTCAAGCCACATATTCCTCCCCAGCAACCAGGGACACCCAACATTGTGATGGTGAGTGTATTATGTAAAGATCCGTAATGGGAATCACATTGGTATTGTGATTCAACAGTGTATTGCAATTGCTGTCTTTTTCTAAGTGTAACTCACATTTGTATTCTGGTTTTAGTTTACTTTGTATCACTCTCTTACATCAGAAATCCCACGTAACATCAACCATCTTTAAGTAAATTTGATATTAAACATTACACCCTCCACACACGGAACATCTAAAAAAGCCTGGTCAGGCAGTATTGGACTCCAGCACAAGGCCTCCTCTGTTTCTCACTCGGCCACACCAACAAGTAGACTGGAGTGCACAAGAAACAGAGAGGACACAGCCAGGACAGTTGACCCTAACTAATGAAAAAGATATTCCATGCCACACGACATCAGCAGGAGCAATAAAACTCAAGTAGTTTTTCCAAAGTAGCCCTTGCATGAAGACTGGCAGGGCACTGGTCTGTTGGAGGTGAATGATTGCTTTTGCATCGCTTTTTCCCTCCCCTGCCCTTCTCTCCTTTTTTTTTTTTTCCCCTTCACTTATTAAATCATCTTTATCTTGACCCATGATTTTTTTTTTTTTTAAAAACTCACTTTGGCCTTTTTGATTCTTTCCCCTATGCCTCTAGAGGGAAAGTGAGCAAGTGACTGGGTAGAGGCTTGCCTGCCAGCTGGGGTCAACCCACCACACAGTGGGCTAACATGCACTACATAGAGAGAGATAAAAATATAAGACAGTAAGTGCAATACACTACATCTAGAAAAATGATATTAAAGATTTGATACAATAGGACCCCATTCATGCCTATATTTGAGTCAAACGAGCCCCAGTATCAAGTTTTGGGATGCTTGTCTGACACTTCAAAAGAACATAACATGCACATCACTTAAATGCCAGTGCCAAACACACAAAAGTGTAGAGAACTCACAAAGCAGAGGAACATACAGAAATGGTAACAAATAATCAAGTCAAAAGATGTGCCATACATGATTTGCTGACATTCTAACATAAAAATTCTGTGCTTTTGAGCAGTATTATTGTGAACAAACTAGAAAGAGGATAGGTAAACCTACGCATCATCTTCAAAACTTTGTTAACATTGTATGCAATATACTAAAACATGACAATAAGTAAGAACTGGAAACGGAAACTAAAGTAGGGATATTCACTGTCTCAAGGGCAAAAAACCAGGAGCAGAACAATTACATATTTTAAAATTACGATATCCTAAACAGATGTCACCTCGACAAGCTTTTATTTTAAGAATTAAAGAAAGCAAAGCTTTCTAAGTTATAAACATTATCTAGGAGCCACAAATTCCACTTTGCTTAATAAAGGAGAGTAACATTGCATCACTTTTCACTGACGCTACCTAAAACCACGCAATGTAATCATTTGGGAAAAACCACACCAAAAGTGTTTTGGTCTTCAAAACACTATCAGCAGTGAATTTTCATCAAAAAGCTGCTAATTTGTTCTCATAGACAGAACATAATCTGCAAGGTAACATGAATCATGACTTTCTCTAACCAGTTGCATGGTTTCGCTGCTCCCTTTCTGGCTTTATTTCTAATACCAATTAATATTTTCCTCCTTCTACCTTTAACAGCTAAGAATTTTAACCTCTAGTAAAATCCACTAAAACATAACACAAAAGAGAAAGCCACATTTTAAAGACCTGCTAAAAGCTAATTTTCCATTTGCAACTAAATAGAGAAGCCTGTAAGGATGCAAGGATGAAGAACTGAACTGCCTGGATGACGATTGTTTACTGACTGGACTTGACTTTTAGTATGAACATACCCTGTCTTTTGAAAAGATTCAGGGAATAATTTCAGATTAATAATTTCAGAGAACTTCACAGAACCAAGCCTCACAACTCTTTGAAGGAAACTAGCTTTTTTTGTTTGTTTTTTTTTGTTTTGTTTTGGTTTTTTTAAGATGTGTATTTATAAATGGTCGGGAAAAAAAAAAGGCGGCTTTTGGGGAGGGACTACAGAAGAACGTTAAGTACATTCTTTATTCTCAGAAACTTCTGACTATATCATAACGTACAACTTAATGATGCCTTATTTTAATCCAAGTCCCTGCAACATCAAGTCAGATAACACTTAAAATTTTACTCTTCCTAGGAAAGCAGTTTAGCATATTTTTCTGATATCAAGAGAACACTATTATTCTTAATACAGAGATGTCTGCCATCATGAACTAGTATGATTTTCTTGGAAAATCTGCACTCCCATGACACAAAAAACATCATTAAATTTTTAAAGCCATACTTGTGGGTTATAGGATTTTCTTAACCAGCAAAATTATTCAAGTTTATTAACAACATTATTCAACATAACAACATGGTGCTAAGTAATTTTCTTCTTATATTAATGGTAGAGTACGCCGAATAATAGGTCTGCTGCTGATAATGCCTCACATTTTTTTCAAACAACACAAGTCTTATGAGGAGCGGCTAAGGGAACTGGAGTTGCTTAGCCTGGAGAAAAGGAAGCTCAGAAGAGACCTTATCGTGCTCTAAAACTACTCAAAAGGAGGTTGTAGAGAGCTGGGTGTCGGTCTCTTCTCCCAAGTAACAAGCAACAGGACAAGAGGAAACAGCCTCAAGTTGCACCTGAGGAGGTTTAGCTTGGATATTAGGAAAAATTTGTTCCCTGAAAGGGTTGTCAAACATTGGAACAGGCTGCTCAGGGAAGCGGGCAAGTCACCATCCTCGGAGGTATTTAAAATACATGTAGATGTGGTGCTTTGGTGGTGGACTTGGCAGTGTTAGGATAACAGCTGGACTTGATGACCTTAAAGGTCTCTTCCAACCTAAACGATTCTATGGTTTTGCATCAAATCCCTGATTATCAACAAGACATAGCCTGATGAAAGCTATTTTGGAAGTGCTTGCCAACGAAACAACAAAAAGAGATGAAAAAGCCATTGCTTTAGCTATCAAATATATGTTCAAAAGATCAGCAAGCTACATGTCCTGCAAAGACCGGTGACTTCACTGGAATTTTTAAACACTTCCAAATATCCTACTTGCCAAACATATTCCAGTCTTGCAAGTCTGCTTAGATAGTACAGCTTTATGTGCTGAATATGCCTTAGTACTTTTCTGCAAATCACAACAAGCAGCTCTGATGGATAACCTCGTGAACATGATGTAGGTCTACAAGCCACAGTTTCAGCCCAATGCTGAGCAGCCATAAAGAGATGCTTTTTCTAAGCTTACAATAAGTATCAATACGAATTCTAAAGAGATGATGACCTACCAGAATACTTACATTCAGTTCTGAAAAAACTTCTGCTATGCTGCAGCCAAGTACGGCTTTCCATGCAAAATATGATTTTACACCATACTCAGCATCCCACAACCTATTAACGATTTGTTTCAATATCTTTAGAATCAACTCCCACCAACACTGAGTCTAGTTCAAATTCAGATACACATGAAAAAAAGCTTTATCTCTAACATACACATTTTTAAGGAGGGGAAGAAGAAGAAAAATGGTTTCTAAAAATCTGCAACGACAAAAAGGTTCTGGAGCAAAAGCGTTATTTTAATAAAACTATTACAAGCATTGATTCTACTTCTTTTTAGCTCTCTCTTATGTAGAGATATTTGCATTGTACTTACTCATGCCATAAGAAGTCTTCTCTGAGGTTTCGGAACACTTTAATTATATAATCAAAATTAACTACCACTTATGAAAAAAAGCCAACCCCTCAAAAGAACAAAAGAACCAGCCCCCACCTCAACACACACCTGTGCACACACACACACAGTCATGTATTATTACCATAGGGTATTCCAAGGCGCTCCTGCTCCTTTCGGTAGCCTTCCAATGCTGCAGCCCATCGTGTCACTTGTTCAGAGGTTTCATCTGAAATTGTTGTAATATGTTTTGTTCCATCCAAGGTTATCACTTGAGCTTCCTCGACAAGGTGAGCTTCAGCTTCTGCATGATGAGCATCTGGATCAATCACTACCTCCACAGTCTCCACAGGCTTCACAATTTCAAGGATGTTTAACTTGGGCTCTATCCCTAGATATAGAAAGAACACAAAAATTAAAGATAGCAATGAATAAATGACAAAAACGTTGTTTTAAAGCTTTCTGATTAATAGGTGTCAGCATATTTAGGAAAGATGTATGACACAAAAGCATCACCAAATTTCTGCAAGTGTCCTAAATTAAAATGGCATATTCTGTTATACAAAATATACTTTAGTAAGGTGAATACAAAGCTGTTCCTCTTTCCTCCCGCAGTATTACAGCTTCCTGTTCTATTTAGGTGATTCATTTCACATATCTTAAACAGAATGTTCAGCATGTGGGCATAAATAACAAATATTTTGGTCTGTAAGAAATACACAGAATCAAAGCAAAAAAAAAAAAAGCAAACCCCCCAAAAAACAGAATAAGCATCCACCTCCTTCCCCCACCAAGAGGCATTTCTTTCAGTCTTTACAGTACTTCCCTGATATCTCTGGGATCTACACACAGAAGTTAATATTTTCTTTCAGTGCCCTGCAAGAGGCAGCGTGTTCAACAGCAAGTTAAAAGAAAATTAGAAAATTCTTCATGTTTTAAGCTTCATCAGCTATTATTGTTTTGGCTTTATGTCTGTCATTTAAGATATTAGGCCACAGAGTTGAAAGATATGTCTGTACCTATTCTGCAGCAATAAAGAACACGTTCACTAAGGCTACCAATGCTTTGTATCACCACCTTCTCTGTCGTCTTTTGAGGAGGTATTTTGTCCAACTGGTGCCTCACCAAGTTTCTGACATTATATAGAAGAATTTTACTGTTGTTATATTATGCTAAACAGAAAAAAGATCTTTCCATTTTTGCGACATATCATTTCCATTATAATAACAATTAACAACCACCTTAAAAAAAAAAAAAAGTAAAATTCCATTTTATTATGTGTCATAATGGCCTGTGTTTAGCCC